TTTAACCAATAAGTTTTATTGTTCATGACTCAAGCTTCAAAACTTATCGGCTGGTTTTTTCTTAAACTGAAAATTGGTTGAGCCTTAGCATTTTGAAAATTCCGAATTTTGTTATACACTTGAGAAATTGAGTCTAAGTAAATTTCGTGTAACAACTTTTTTTTCATGGAATATTTTCTACAACATACATTTGATTTATTGGATTTATTTATTTCCTTTTTTTTATTAATAAATAAAAGTTCTTTACAACAAAAAAGCTTAACGAACATTAAAAGAAAATCATTACCAAATTTGGTCATATATTGTAACACGAAAATTATTGTTGCACTTCTGAGCATAACTTTCAAAATTAAAAATCTATGAAAAAGAGAATTTGAGATAAATTTTTTTTTAGATTAATAGACTCCTTTTTAAAGCTGAATTGAATGGTGGTGGGTTTTTTAAAATCCAATGTGTGGGTCACAATATTTCAAAAATTTTAACTTTAGAGTATAGATGATCCGCACTGTATTATTATTGTTATGTTTTTCAGGAATGATCAGAATGATTTTGATTGGTTCTCCCATTATATTGACATGTCGTTATAACAGAATAAATTCTATAATTCTAAAAAAAAGTTGACAAATTATGTCATTATACTATATAGTATAACAGGATAAATAATAGGTGTCATTTAATTTTGTCATTCGTAATTAATTTCGTTGTTCGTAATTGATTTCGTCACGCGTAATTAATTTTCGTCACCCGTAATTATAATTAACTTCGTAAATAATTTCGTAATTACGTATTACGTTTTTGGCAAAACAATTACCATCCCATGTATACCCCTGACCTTTATTTTTACGCGCATGATCGTGTCTTTTTCCTTTCAGGTGTCGTAAATTTCTTTTGATTTTCAAAAACAATAACAAATAATAAAAAAAATAAAAATAAAAATTTTTAGAATAATAAATCACACACACATAATATTCTCTACAATAAAATCAAAAGATGAAATATATTTTAGTATCAGGAGGTGTAATTTCTGGAATTGGTAAAGGTATCTTTGCCTCTTCACTAGGACTTTTATTAAAAACTCTTGGTTTAAGAGTGACTGCAATAAAAATTGACCCATATATGAATATTGATGCTGGAACTATGAGTCCTATTGAACATGGTTAGTTTTTAAAAAATAAAATGACTTCTTTAATTATATGGTAATAATAATCATTAAAACGTGCATTTGTGTTATTTTATCATTTCTTGTGCCACAACATTTATACTTGAAAAAAATGAATAAATCAATCAATCAATGTACCTATCTGCCTATACATGTGTATGTGTTAAATTAATAATAATTTAGGTGAAGTGTTTGTGTTGAATGATGGTGGTGAAGTTGATCTTGATCTTGGTAATTATGAAAGATTTTTGGATGTTACCCTTACAAGAGATAATAATATTACTACAGGAAAGATATATCAAAAAGTCATCAACAGAGAAGTAAGTATTAATAATTGATGATGATGATGTGATGGTGAAAAGGATTGGTTGATTCTTTAAATTAATTGGTTATTTATTTAATTAGAGAAAAGGAGGGTATCTTGGAAAAACTGTTCAAGTGGTACCACATATAACTGATGCAATTCAAGAATGGGTTGAAAATGTTTCTAAAATACCAGTTGATTCAAGTGGTCAAGAACCTGATGTTTGCATAATTGAGGTAGGTATATTTATATCTACAAAGAGAGAGTATGTGTGAGCTAATTATTGATTTCTAAAAATCAATTAATGTAATTATATAGCTTGGTGGTACAGTTGGTGACATTGAATCTGCTCCATTTGTTGAAGCAATGCGTCAATTTCAATTTTATGTTGGACATGAAAATTTTGCATTAGCCCATGTTTCATTGGTTCCTATAGTTGGTCCAGTTGGTGAACAAAAAACAAAGCCTACTCAAGCCACAATTAAAGAATTAAGATCTTTAGGATTATCACCTGACTTGGTAAAATCTCACTATTATTATATATGCATATATGTATTTTTTTCTAATTTTTTTCTTTTATAAATATTAGATTGTATGTCGTTGTTCACAACCATTAAACCCAGATGTTCGAAGAAAGATATCAATGTTTTGCCATGTTGGTCCAGAACAAGTATGTATCAGAGAATTAGATATATACATGGTTATCTAAAATTAAAAAATATATTAGATTATCATCATTCTTTAATTCTTTAATTCTCCGATACATATATAATATAGGTTGTTTCAGTAAGAGATGTATCTTCAACATATCATGTTCCATTACTTTTATCAGAACAAGGAGTATTGAAATTCTTGATTACAAGACTTAGCCTAAATCTTATTAATATCAAACAAGAACAATGTAACCATGGTTTGCATCTGTTGAGAGAATGGATAATGTTGACCGAAGAGTAAGTATATTGTACCTATATTTTCTCAATTACTTTTTTATTTTTAAAGGGAAGTGTAATAGATTTTTATTGTTTTTTATTAAAAAAAGGCATGATCTTCTTTCAAAACCTGTTACAATTGCTATTGTTGGTAAATATACCTCACTTCAAGATTCATATCTTTCTGTTGTAAAGGCACTTGAACATTCTGGAATGAAATGTGGAAGAAGACTTGTTATCAAAGTATGTTGTCACAATAATAATAATAATGCTAATATTACTATGATTAATTGAAGAAATAAAACTGTTATTTATATATATATAAATAATCTTCAAAAAGTGGGTAGAAGCTACAGATTTGGAGCAGAGCGATGATAAATTGGCAAATAAATATCAAGAATCATGGAAAATTATAAGATCTGCAAATGGTATTCTTGTCCCTGGTGGATTTGGGAATCGTGGCATTGAGGGTAAAATTGCAGCAGCAAGATGGGCACGTGAAAATAAGATTCCTTATTTAGGTGATTTATTATTATTATTAAAATTGTATTTGTTGCCCAATAATTCTATCTAATACAATAGAAATATAATGAATAGGAATATGTCTTGGTATGCAAATTGCTGTAATTGAATTTGCACGTAATGTTTGTAAGATGAAAGGTAATAATAATCAATAGTAATGATATTTATACATATAAATAAATTACTAATTCCAAATTTCTTGATCTATTTTTTTTTTTATAAGATTCAAATTCTGAAGAATTTAATCCAGATGCCAAAAATCAAGTCATAATTAATATGCCAGAAATTTCCACAATTCATCTAGGTGGCACTATGAGATTAGGTTTAAGACCAACAATTTTTCAACAAGAAACTGAATTATGGTCAAAGATGCGTAAGTTATTATTATATTAGTATAATAAGAGTAATAATAAAAGTAATAATAATAGTAGTATTAGCAGCAGTTATTAATACTATCTATCTATCATTTAGGTAAACTATATGAGATTATGAATGTGACAGAGATTGGTACTGGGATTGTACAAGAACGTCATCGTCATCGTTATGAAGTTAATCCTAAATATGTTAAAAGCTTTGAATCATATGGATTAAGTTTTGTTGGACGTGATGAAACTGGACAAAGGATGGAAATAATGGAATATCAAAGTAATTAATCATCAAATAATCATCACTATTAATAATAATGATAATGATTACCAAAACTCTTTATTTTCAGGTCATCCATTCTACGTTGGCACACAGTATCACCCAGAATATCTTAGTAGACCCCTTAAACCATCACCAGCATTCCTTGGTTTTGTATCAGCATCAGCGGGATTAACAATTGAACCATTGTTTAAAAATTAACAATTTATTTTTATTTCATATTTGTTTATTTGTATTTCTGTTTTTAATAATAATAATAATAAAATAATACTATATATACAACAAAGATAACATAGGCAACCCCGTTAAACCGAAGGCAATTGTGCAGGAACTTTTCTTCGGATTAACGGGTTTTTTATAATCCGAAGTTATTATTAGTCATAAATTAATTCGGATAAACGGGGTAATAAATTTAAAAATTTAGGATTTAGAATTTCCTTTATCCATTTTCTAGCAGTGAATTGATTTGGATCCAATGATAAAAATAATCACTCCTTTTTAGAATTTCATAAACAGTAGATTCACAGACATTATATTTAGATGCAAGCTGGTTATTTTTTATGTTTGGGTCTTTATTTTTTTCAATGCATATTTCTATTTTTTTTGTGAGATTGTTATAGACGTATGTTTTCTTTTTGATACCCCAACTTCTTTTTCAGTAGATTTTTTTTTTCCTCTTGTTTGCATTAGAGGAAAGTTTACTTTGGTTAATTAATTTTTGTACATGTTGTGCGTGAAAATGAAATTTATGTGAATTTGCAATTCATATATTCAACAACATACATATATGTATGTATTTGTATAACTTGTACATTATTTTATTATTGGCCCAATTTTTATTTCACTTCGGTTTATAAAAATTCGGATTAACGGGGCAATTTTACTTTTACATATAAATGGCTTCAAAAAATCCAAAATTTCTTCGGTTTACGGTTTATAAAGTTTTATTAGTGACATTCATATTAACGGGGTAATTTACATATGTTTGGCTTTGATTTTTAAAAATTATTCATTTTAACGGGTTTTTCGGATTAACGGGGTTCAGATCAACGGGGTTGCATATTAATATGTAAATACTATTTTATCCACTATTATATCACTAATATTCTTTCTATTATAATAATATATCAAGTAATATGAATACCAACTGTGTCAATATTATCTAAAGAATATTTATGCATTGCAGTAACTTCTACTCCAAATGAGCGTCTACAGCCAAACCTTATCACAGCGGACTATAATTAAATTCTTGTGGCAATATCAGTAAATCTTGCCACAACGGGTTTTAAATAAATCTTCATTCATCCGCTGTGAAAACACAATGACACCCGAACAAATAAAATTCAGTCTGTTGTTATCAATGAATATTCGGCGGATATTCGGCGGATATTTGGTGGATGACCAATTATCCGAGTGTTGAGATTTATTGACTGTCCGATTATCCAGGTGTTGAACCTTATTGATTGACCAAGTACTCAAACACCCGAATAATCAACAGATACAACCACTACTATTCGTAATACAAATTTTGTTCAAATTATCCAAATCATTCGTTTATTCGAATTGTTGTCATTCATTTATTCAAATTGTTATCATTCGTTTATTATTTTAATTATCTATTATTCGAATTGTTGTCGTTCATTTATTTGAATCATTCGTTTATTCAAATCGATATCATTCATTTATTCAAACTATTCGTTTTATTTTAAATTATTGTTTTATTTCAAATTGTTATCATTCGTTTATTTTTGTTATCGTTCGTTTTATTTCGAATTGTTATCGTTTTATTTCAAATTATTCGTTTTGTTTCGAATTGTTATCAAATTATTCATTTTGTTCCGAATTATTCGTTTTATTTCGAATTGTTATTATTATTATTCGTTTATTCGAATTATTCATTTTATTTCGAACTATATGTTTATTCGTTTATTATTATTCGAACTATTCATTTTATTTCTTTTATTCGTTTTATTCAAACTACTCGTTTATTCGTTTTTTGAAATACTCGAATCATTCATTTATTTGTTTTATTCGAACTATTTGAATCATTTCGTTTATTCGAATTATTTCGATGTTCGTTTTATTCACTTTATTTCGTTGTTCGCTTTATTTGAACTATTTGTTTATTATTTGTTTTGTTTAAAATATTTGAATTATTTGTTTTACTCTAATTATATTCATTTATTTGTTTTATTCGAATTATTTCGTTTATTCGAACTATTCATTTTATTCGAATTGTTCGTTTATTTGTTTTATTTAAATTATTGATTGAATTATTTGTTTATTTGTCTTATTTGAATTATTTGTTTATTCGTTTTATTCGAATTACTCGTTTTTCGAATAGAAACCCGTATAGTAATAGTAATAGTAATAGTAATAGTTGTATGTAGTGATTTTAATTTAGTTTCACCAGATTTGGTGACTCCAATAACTCAGATCGCACACTTGCAATATTTATTACAGTTTTACGGGTTATGGCTTTAACGATTTAGGGAGCATTTATGTGATACTGAATTGTTGTAATTCAGGTAAAATTTATTTTTTTTTAACGAAAATGTAATAATTAATAATAATATTTTGTGTGATGAAAAAAAAAAGTTCTTGAGAAAAAATTTTTTTTTGACAAATTATACAAGCTATACAATATAATAAAAAACCACAATGGAAAACACTTTGTATGAAAATAAACATCATGATGATACTTCTACTGATAAAAACGATGAATATTTAAAAAAAAGAAAAGAAGAATATGGGGAATGTCCAACTTGCAATAGATATAATACTGATTATTTATGGTGCCAATCATGTGATCCAAAGCTATTAACTGAAGGATGGACTAGTGGCAATGAAACATTAGATGAGTTGATTAAAAGTACACAACTTAAAGCAACTGAGTATGATAATGATTATTATCTTCAATGGATTCCTTATAATGATTTAACAAATATTGAAAAGATAGGTGAAGGTGGGTTTGCAACTATATACAAAGCTACTTGGTTAAATGGTGTGAAAGATACTGATGGAGATAAGAGAACTAATGAAGATCGGCCTGTGGCATTAAAAAAACTACATGATTCACAGATTATTTCTGATGAATTTCTTAATGAGGTAAATTATTTTATTTTTCTATTTATTTTCAGGTTAGATATTATTTATTGATTATTATTGTTGTAATTAAATATTTTATTTATTATTTAGTTCAAAAATTATATGAAGTTACATGATAAAAGTGATATAATTCATATTTATGGATTAACACAAGATCCCATTACAAAAGAATATATATTTGTGATGAATTATATGAAAGATGGAAGTCTTCAAAATTATTTAACAAAAGATTTTAAAAATTTAAAATGGAAAGACAAAATTGGTATTCTTTATTATGTTATTAGTGGCTTAAAAGATATTCATAAAAAAGAAATCATTCATCATGATTTTCATAGTGGTAATATTCTTCAAGATGAAATATATGCATATATTGCAGACTTAGGATTATCATGCTCAGCTAGTCAAACATTATCATCAAACAAAAATGGTATATTTGGAGTACTGCCATATATTGCACCAGAAGTTTTAAAAGAGAAACCATATACAAAAGCATCGGATGTATATAGTTTTGGAGTCCTGATGTCTGTAGTATCAACTGGTCAACAACCATTTAATAATTTGGCACATGACAAATATCTTGCAATTAATATATGTAAAGGTGCAAGACCTGGATTCTCAAATAATACACCAAAATTCTATATTGAACTAGCATTCAAATGCATGGATGCTAATCCAGATAAACGTCCAACTGCTAAAGAAATTAAAAAGATTATTGGTTTTTGGTATTATCCATCTCAATATTTTAATCCATCTCAACATCATAATCCAGGTGACAAATATGAATCAATTGAAAAAGAATCAATTGAAAAAGAGTTTAATAAAATGGATGAAATAAAATTTGATCCTTCAACAATTACTGCAACAATTCATCCAAATGCAGTTTATACTAGCAGATTATTAAATTTTACAAACCTTCCCCAACCTATGAATTCCAATAAAGTAACAATTATTGGTAATAATAATGGTAATTATTAATATTCAATCATTGATTGTTTTCATTTTCAATATTTATTAATAATATCCACTCTTGTGATTAATATTTTGTAGATTCTATACAAATTGATTTAACTACACCAGATGACTTACCTGAATAAGTTAAATATTGTCACTTTATTACATATCAATTATTTACATAATAAACAGATTGATTTGGCTATACCAGATGACTTACCTGAACAAGTTAAACCCTGTCACTTTATTACATATTAAATTATCTATTATTTATTTTTATCTATCTGGCTACTATAGTTGCGGTATTAAATATTTTGAGAAATGAAATTATATAATAACTTCTTTGGATTTTTTTCATTTTGAAATTCGGATGTCAAATATGCACACTAAATAAAAAATAATATTTTTGACAAAAAAATAAATGTATTTTTAATAATAATTGTTATCATACATACATAACTGCAATATTGTTTGTTTCTTACCTTTTCAATCAATGGTTTCATTTTTTTATAGTATTTACAAGATGTACTTATCAATATATATAATATATATAATTAAAAATTTTAAAATTTAATACATGTATCTTAAATAATTTAAACATGATAAAAATTATACCTAAATTATCAAATAACACATCTAATCATTTCAACTTGCTTGTTGAACCACTATTGCGGTCAACTTCTAGAAGAGGTTCCCATCCTCCAGATTTCCTCCAAAAATACATAACAAAGATACAAACTATGTGGTAGACTGATTTGAATTGAACAATGTCAAACTCCTGATCTTATTTGGAAACCCTGACCTGGAATCTTTGATGTTTCACCCAATAGAAAGGGACACTATGAGTACATTAAAAATATCACCCTCAATAGATAGCCAGGTTCTGCTTGTGTTGGTATTAGCCACATTGATGCTTGAGAAAAGAAAAAATTTTCAAAATTAGAACCAGATACTGGCCATCAAAAATGTAACTGTGAGAAACATCCATCAAAAATCACAACCTTGCCTTCGAATTTCCTTTTTAAAAAAGAAACAAGTGTGTAAAGGCTTCCTCAGATCTTCTATACCTTGATGATGGCCAAAGACAAACAGACCCACTTGCATAAAATGGCAACACCATGCCAAGCAATCACCCATTGCAC